TGCAAAATAAGCCCCAAACTAACATAGTTCCTTTTGTCATTGATTTCTAGTTTCATTGCAGTATGAGCTGATATTATGCATGTGATAATTCTGATTTTTTGCATTTACTTAAGCATGCTTTATGGACTAGTATGTGGTTCATTTTGGAGAAGGTCCCCTGTGCTACTGTGAAGAATGTGTAATCTGTCGTTGTGTGGAACACTCTCTAGGTATCTATTATGTCCATTTGTTTGAAAGTTTGGTCAACTCTGATATTTCTTTGTTGATGTTTTTAATGTAATCAATCTATTTGTTATAGTGGTGTATTAAAGTCTCCAATTATAACTGGGTTGATGCTTATCTTATCTTTTATATTCAGTAGTATTTGTTTTATACAGTTGGGTGTGCCAGTGGTCAGTGTGTGTTTATAATTGTTATCTGTTTATGATTGTTAAATGTTTATAATTATTACTTCTTCCCATTGAATTGTTTCCTTAACCAATATGTAATAACCTTCTTTGCGTCTTCTGATGGTTTTGGCTTGAAATCCACTTTGTCTGAAATTAGGATAGCTACTCTTGCATTTTTCCAGGTTGCCTTTACGTGGAATATCATTTCCATCCTTTGAGTTTTAACTTGTGTATTTCTTTTTCAATTAAATGTGTTTTTTGTATACTGAATACCACTAGGTTTTATTTCGTGATCCATTCTGAAATCTATGTCTTTTGATTGGTGAGATCATTCACATTGATAGTAATTACTGAAAGGTATTGACTTATTCTTAACATTCCATTGTTTTCCTGTTGAGATTTCCTTTTTTCCCCCACTCTTCTTTCTCTAAATGCTCACCTGGCTGGTATATTCATTCTGTTAGTTTTTTGGAATTGTTATTTTCATTGTCTCTTTCTAGGATAACCTTGAGAATTTTTTTGAGTGCTCGTTTGGTGGTCATGAGTCTCTTGAAGTGCTCTTTGCCTTAAAAATGCCTTATTTCTCCATGAATTTTGAAAGTTTTGCAAGATATGTGTAAGTCTGGTTGTAAGTTGTTCTTTCAGGGCTTTAAAAACTTCAAGTTCTTCAGGCTTTTAAGGTTTGTGTTAAGAAGTCTGCTGTAATTCTAACTGGTTTATCTTTGCAAGTTATTTGTTGTATTTCTCTGACAGCTTTTAAGATTCTGTCCCTGGGTTGGTCTTCTGGGATCTTGACTATGGTTGATCATGGCTATTTGGAGTTCTTATATGCTTCACTTATCTGAAAGTTCAATTCTTTTCCTATATATATGGAAATTTTCTTATATCTTTTTTTTGGTACCAGAAATCAAACTCAGGACCTTGCACTTACCAGACAGGTACTTATACCACTGACCTATATCCCCAGCCCCTTCTACTTTTTCTATAAACAGTTTTTTATGTCCTTTGTGCTATCTTCTGATTTTTCACTAATTCTATTTAAACTTAGATTACCATGTTTTCCTCAAAATAAGACCTACCTGGAAAATAATCAGCCTTGAAAACTAGAGATCAAAAATTCTAGCCCCAATCAGCCTGTCCTTGCAAACTAAAAGTTAGATAATAGGAAACAGCAGGATAAATCTTTTGCATATGAGAATGGCTCCAAGAGATGGAGAAAGAGGGGAGGGTCAAGAAAAGGAAACATAAAAAGAATTAAGGTGTGTTACATACGTGTACCAGCTCCCCATGATGAATGTAATCATTAGGCATTGCAAACATGCACTAATAAAAATAAGAGTTAGAAAAAGAAATTGGGACTTTCATGGACTGTACATGGGAATGTTAAATGATACAGGCTTTTTGGAAAACACCCTTGTAGTTCCTCAAACAATTATACGTACAGTTAACATATAACCAAGAAATTCTACTCCTAGACATGCACAGAAGAGAAAGAGAAATATAGGTCTGGACCATAACTTATACACAAATGCTCATGGCCACATTATTCATCATAACCATAAGGTAGAAAGAACCCAAATTTCTAAAAACATATAAATGGACAGACAAATGCATTATTGGGCCATACAAAACGAAATTGTACATAAAAAGGAATGACATACCTTTTAAAAAATGTATAAATCTTGAAAACATGCTAAATGAAAAAGTTCAAACCCTTTTGGTCTACTCTTGATCCTCGCATGAGGCAAGCGTTGCTCTACCTAGACTTAGATAGTCCTTCTCCAGTCTCGGTCTACATAGGGATCAGTCAACTTTCTACTCAAGACCAGATACTAAAGAGCCGAGCCTTTGTGGGTCATATCAGCTGTCACAGGTACCCAACCTGGCTATTGTAATGTGGCTATTGCAAAGCTATAGACTGTAAGTAAATGATGATGGCCATATTCCAATAAAGCTTTATTTATGGGCACTGAAATTTGAATTCACACACTTCTTCAGTTTCTTAACATGTTATTCTTCCTTTGATTCCCCCTCAAACATTTAAAAACATACAAGTCATTCTAGATTAATGAGCCATGTGCTTACTATGTCTCTACCAGAAACTGTCCTAACACTTCATGTTTCATTCTGAAAACAGAGCTTTTAGAGCAGTGTTGTTTTTATATCTATTTTGCAGATAAGGAAACTAAGGCACAAGGATGTTAAGGAAGTTAACTTTTTATCTTAAGGAAGGCATATGACACAGTAAAAAGAGGAGTATTCCACAAGTCTAAAGAGAAAAGAAGGGCTAGGGATATAGCTCAGTGGTACAGCACCTGCCTGGTAAGTGCAAGGTCCTGAGTTTGATTCCCAGTACCAAAAAAACCAAAAAAGATCACAGAACTTTGTGGGAATTTAAAATGAGAGAAGGGAGAGGTGGGACTTCAGATTTGTATGAATAGATTTTTGACAGCTTCCAAAAAGACACAAGTCTTTTGCAGGCATGGAGCAGGGAATAGCAGAGCCCTGGCTCTGGTGACCGAGCACCAGATGGGTACCAGACATACCTATCTCTGGGCCAGTACAAGGTCCCTAAACCAAACACAACTTTAAGAACGGGGACCCTGGCCAAGACTCAAGTTAGATTCTTCTGCTAGGCCAGAAAGTGAATTTAAAGTGAGTTACAGAAAGTAAACAAGCTTACATTTCTTTTTCTTTCTTCCTTTTTTTTTTTTTTTTTTGAGCTTTTTTCAGGTACTGGGAATCGAACTCACGACCTTGCACCTGCCAGGCAGATGCTGTGCCGCTGAGCTAAACTACCAGCCCCCAGGCTTACATTTCTTACATGCCTGCATTCATGGCCTGAGATTCACACCTACTTGCTTGCTGAAAATACTGTTTTTTTCAGGAACAAGAGGGAAAAGAACATGAGCATCAGCATAAAAATAATCCCCACTGCACTCCTACCACTGGCCTGCACAGTTTTGCCCCCACAACTTCATGTTTGCATGCTGCCCCCAAGCTCAGTGACAGTGGCCCTGAAATTGTACACCACTCAGCTAGGGCAGAGCAAGCCAGGGGTTCACTGTGAATATTTTCTGACCTTAGAGATACATCACAGCACATGAATCTATGGAAATTATTGAGTTCTATTGACCAATGTTTATTGCTAGACTCATAACATTTGAAGAACAATTTAGTTATTTTTAAATGGAAAAAGTAAAACATGCATATTATACATGCATACAGATTTTTAAAAAATGAACAACCCAAAGGTATAAGAAAAAATAGCTCCACCTCTCTTCCCTGAATCTCCAGTCTCCTGCTCTGAGACAATACTTATTATCAGTATGTTGCACTTTCTTATGGAAATGGTCCATGTAGGGACAAATATAAGTTTATGTATAGTATTATGTATACCATTTGTATATAATATAAATTCAAGTAAACGATACATACTGTTTTACACTGAATTTTCATTTTATATGTCCTGGCCGTCGTTCCTAGCTACCTCTTTTCTTTTTCCTGAATGCATAGTCTCCCAATAGAGCTGCTTTTATTTCACCAGTCCCTTAGTCTTGTAGTGATGAATGTCTTTCCATAAGTCATTAAGCATTTGCATGCCAGTCTGAGTAGATTTGTAGAATAAAGTCGTAAAAATGGATCTGTGGTTGGGTGTGGTGGTGCACACCTGTAATCCCAGCACTCAGGAGGTTGAGGCAGGGGGATTGCTGCGAGTTTGAGGGCAGCCTGGGCCACAAAGTGAGTTCAAGGCAAGCGAGATCTACATAGCAAGACCCTGTCTCAAAAAATTAAAGAAAAGAAATTGATCTGTACAGTGAAGGTGAATGCTTACTAAATTTTGAGAGGTGTTAACCAATCTTTAGGGTTTGCTTTAGGGTTCTGAGTCTCAGTTTTCTCACTTGCAACGTAGGTTTTCTAAAATTCTCACTTCAAAGGGATGTTGCAAAGATTCATCTCAATAATATAAGGTAAGAAAAGGCCACATACGGATGCAAAAAGGAGACCAGAAAGCTGTTAGAGGAACTAATGGCTAAGAAAACGCCAGGTTAATTGAATTGTGTGGGAGTTTACCATGGAGCTGAGAAGCTTGGTGTTGATGACTGTAGGGTCCCCCACGTGGGCACCAAAATCAGCTGGATAATAACAGAAAAACTGCCAAACGGGAATTAAATTCTTCACTGAATGTGCATCAGGGACAGTAAGAAGGAGAGAAGGTGACACAGGCTGGCGGATCCAGCCTCAGAGCAGAAAGGGTTTCTTCAGAAAGGTGAAGACGGTTGGGTTAGAGCGGAGATCCTGCCAGTGGGGGTGGTGTGCGTGGGGAATAAGAATGAAGAACAGGGCTGCAGCAGGCAAGAGTCACAGCCAAAGCTAAGGGATGAAAGAGTGATACTGGCTGAGCAGAGAATGGCGGTTCCAGGGAATGTGACTCATTGGCCCCCAAGGAGTTTTGAAGACCAGGCCTGACCTCCCTTTGGAAGGGATGGGGGCTGGGATCAGGTGAAGGGAGTGCAAAGACAGGTGGCAAATGACAGGGAAGCTCTCCATGGGCAGAAAGGCTCTCATTCCAGGAAGCATGATTTATTTACCTTATTGTTCTTTTTAAAGCTTATTGAGGAGCGCCCAAGAGCATGTGAAATCTATTAAGAGAAACCAGAGCGACAGCTGTAGCCATAGCTGAAAAGAAATCTCCTCAGTTTATGGTAAGAGTTTCTGTCGAAGCTTTCAACCTCTCCCCGATTTCCTGACAACCATGATGAAGACAAACAGTGAAGAGTCCAAGTTTTAGAAAAAGTTATTTTTCTAAAGGGAAAAAAGAATGAGATGAAAAAGGGAAGGAGAACTTGTGGTTCAGACACACAAAAAGAATTCAAAATACAACCAAGAAACTTAGTGATTCACACAGTCATTAGTGGCACAGTTCAAGCATAAAATTATTTTAAAAGAATGTACAATCTTATAAAATGTGAAAATTAATACCAACAAAAATACCTAAATGACCTTTAAGGATGAATAAATAAATCCCAAAGACAGTATAATATGTTCAGAGAATAAAAGGCAAAGAGTAGAAATTATCAAAGTGATATAAATAGGCTAAATAATTTAAAATCTAAAGAATTTTAAAAGTCAAAACAAATTGAAACAAATAAAATGAGAGGATCGAAAATGTTGAAGATAAAATAGTGTCTGCTAGGCAGAGGGAAAAAGAAATATTAAAAGAAAAAAAACCAGCACAACAAGTTTTAAAATCTAACAAAATGTTAGAAAAGTAAAGTGTTTTTCACATTATATCCAAAATAATACTGTAAAGAAGCAAGCAAAAGAAATAGAAAAGGTTAAAAAGATAAAATTAGAAAACAGAAAGACTTGGAAAATGAACAAATAAGCTAATACAGTTTAAAATAATTCAAAGCACATAAAATAGTTCTGGAGCTCAGAAGTCTTAAAATCCGAACAAAAATCAGACAAAGACACTACCAAAGTAGAAAGACTAAATATTTCAGACAAAAATCCTTAGTAAATTCTAGGGCTTTAGCAGCCCCTCAGGGAAGTGACAGGAGGACCCCGGTGGGGGCAGAAAGGGAAAGCAAGGCAGCGGGACCCAGCCCCCAGTGGGAGCCCCTTGAAGGCTGGGTCGGCACCCCCGGGAGGAACCACACTGCCGCTATCAGCAGCTGGCAGCCCAAATCCGACAAACCAACTGGGCCTTCCAGGAGGCCCCTCGCACCCCCTTGCATGCGCCCAGTGGCAGCTGCAGCTGTCAATAATCCTATGGGGAAGAGACAAACACTTTAGACAAGCGCTTTTTACGCCGAGGGCGACCAACAGCACAGGACTTTAGGACAGATGCTCACCCTTCCTAGCTCTGCTCTTCCTCAAGTTTCGTAGGCGTTCTAAGAGTACGTCGTGTTTCTGGTCAGAAACGCAAGAATAATTATATTTGCCTTTTAAGACTATTTTGAAGATTCAGTAAGATGAAGATTACATATTAGTTTTCAAGCAATCAACAAATGATAGGGAGGAAAAAGTCCATTCTCATTATAACTATTTAAACTGTTTTAGCGATTTTCTTGAAGGAGAAATAGAAAAGGTTCGCCTGGGCTTTACTTTTTCTTTTCTTCTTGGTTAAAACAACATATATTTATTACTTACGGTTCTGGAAGTTAGTTTTCAAATGTTTATCTAGAGTTTTAATTTTTTATTTTTATTAGTACGCATTTGCAGTACATAATAATTAAACGTTCATCATGGGGAGTTGGTACAGGTACAGTACTTAAAACATCTTGATTCTCTTTATGTGCCCTTCCTCCTCTAGGTCTCCCCTCTCCCTCTATCTCCTGGTCCCCTTCCCCTTTATGAAAGATCTGTCTCCCTGCTTCCTGTTATCTACCTTTTATTTTGCTCTTCATTTATACTTTGGGTTTCTCACATAAGAGAAACCATGTGCTATTTTAGCTTGTGAGTCTGAGTTACCACACTTAACATTATAGTCTCGAGGTGCACCCATTGTCCTACAGATGACTCAAATTAAAGTGTCAGCAGAGATGTGTTCGCTTTGGAGTCTCTAATGGCATGCATTCCTTGGTCCATGGCCCCTTCCTTCTCCAGCTCCAAAGCCAGCAGCTCAGCATCTTCAATCTAGTTCTCTCTCTCTCTCTCCGTATCTCTCTCTCATCACAATTTCTGAATTTGTCCTTCTGAGTCTCAATAAGGACCCTTGTAATGCTATCGGGCTCATGTGGATAATCCAGAATAATCTCCCTTTCTCAAAATCCTTGATTTAATTTCATCTGCAGAGTTCCTTTTGCATATAAAATAATAGATTCAAGTGTTTGGGGATGAAGACACGGACATTGTTTTGAGATCATTATTCTGTCTACCAGACCCCTTGTAAGGCTTAGCCCAGCACCCACCCTAATGTGTTTAGGTTTAAACTCTAATTCTTATTAGGGGCAAATTATTCAGCTCCGCCTCGGAGGACTGCAGTATATCAGATATTTGCTGCTCCACATCTTTGGCCTATACTAAAGGGGCCCAGGACTCAATCCACTGGCAAACAGAACTTTCCCCCAAAGCCCAGGGAGTGGAGGAGTGGAGGCCCAGTGGTTTATGGGAAAAGCCAATGGGGCAATGTGTCCTGTGTATGTCACGCCCCAGCTCTTTGAGAAATCATAAGAAAGGTATGACAGGAAGGAGCACTCTCTGGAAGGAGGAAAAGAACTTGTGGCTTCCTATACTTTCTCAGTTCTACTTAAATAGACTGAGTGTGTGTGTGTGTGTGTGTATACATTGAAACTAACATAACATTCACCAACTCAATCATCTTAGAGTATACAATTTACTGTTACTAACACATTGACAATGCCATGCAACCATCACCTTGATCTAGATCCAGAACATTTTCATCACCCCAAAGGAAATTCTAAACCCATTAAGCAGTCACTCCCCTTTCTCCACTGCCAACCCCTAGCAACCATTAATTTGTTTTCTGTCTCTACAGAGTGTCATATTGAGGATATTTCCTATAAATAGGATCATATAATATGCAGCTTTTTGTGTCTGGTTCCTTTGACATAATATATTCAAGGTCCAACTATGTTGTGGAATTTATCAGTATTTCATTACTTGTTATGTCTTAGTATTCCATGATATGGATAGACCATATTTTTGTTTATCCATTTGTTAGTCAGTGGACATTGGATTGTTTTTATCTTTTGGCTATTGTGAGTAATGCTGTTATGAATATTTGTGTGTAAGTTTTTGAGTACTAGTTTTCCATTCTTTTGAGTAAATAATTAGATGTGGCTTGGCTAGAACATATGGTAAACTATGGGCCATGTACTAAAATTGTTACACAAATGAGTAAATTCAACAGAAATCTTTATCATGCTCTAATATTGTAAGAAAGAGCTCTCCACTCACAATTGGAAAAGGAAAGGAAGAAAGAAAGAAAAGAAAGAAAGAAAGATGCATTTACTGGGATACAAATTTTGTTGCTATAAAAGAAACCAAAGTCTTTATTTTGAACAAAATAAGAGTTTATTTTTTTAAGTATTTAAGAGTCATTTAGGAAGGCCCACCTCTTCTTTTCAACATGCAGCTTCCAAAGTGGTAACTTTAGTCCCTATGCTCACACCCTTACTTACGGTGACCAGCTCATCCGCTTGCCTGAGGATTCCCCAGCTTTAGCCCAGCAAGTCCCGTCAGGAGCCAGCAGAGCTGGGCCACTGGGGCACTTGCCAACACTTCAGCTGCAGGAGAAGTAAAATCGTATCTTCTCTTCTAAGGAAAGACCTGGAGGTGCACGGGCTGGTTCAGCTCACACCCACTTAACCAATGTTGAGCCACATGGTCCACCTGGTTCCAAGGCAGGATGGAGGCCATGGGCCTGGAAAAATCTTGAGCATTTACCCCTGAAAGGAGAGGAGAAGAGTTCTGCAGAGACGGTTAGGTGTCTCTGCTAACACAGGCAACAAAGACACACAGTGTAACAGGTAGACACGTGTAAGGAGAGCAGGGCAATGTGTCATAGGGTTTGTCTTTACTTGATTTATGAGTTTACTTGTTAAGACGTTGTTTCCTCTTTGGATACTTTTTTTTTTTTTCTGGAACAGAGTTTCACTTTGTAGTTCAGGCTGGCCTCATATATGCCTCAGCCTCCTGATTGCTGGGATTACAGGCCGGACATGTGCCACCATGCCCAGCTCCTCCTGGCATACTTTATGATTCACCAGTTGGCAAGATTATAAGTAAGGGTGTGAGGGGGGGACTAAAGGTACCATTTTGGGAGCTACATGTTGAAGAGAAGAGGTGGGCCTCCCTAAATGATTCTTAAATAATTGAAAAATAAACTCTTATTTTGTTCAAAATAAACACTTACTTTGGCTTCTTTTACAGCAACAAAAATCTGTATCCCAGTAAATGTTTCTTTCTTTCTTTCCTTTTCTAATTCTGAGTGGAGAGCTCTTACAATACTGCCTTCCTTTTTCCCTTCCTTCTTTCCTTTCTTTTAATAAGGAACATCACTTTGCCGGTTTGGATTCTGGTGATAACAGATCTCATTCACGTGAGTTCACTGAGGAGCAGGACTGAAGTGACCCTTTACAAAGTGAAGGCGGGACAAAGGGACCTACAGCACGGTGCAGTATCCACCTCCCAGAACAAGAGGGGCCATTCCCACACCCTGCCTGAAGGGGCAAGAGGAAGGAGAGCTTACTGGAGCATGAGGAGCAGCTATGACTTCCCAGCAGGAATGGCGACTTCCAAGAAAAGACCACAGTTACCCAAAGCCCCGCAAAGAGAGAGTAAGCATGGGCAACAGACTCCCCAACCTCTTTCTCCTGCACCCCTCCAAGATCCTACCCAGCAGGAGGCCTAGCCTTCAGGGACCCAGAGCCCGAAAGAGGCAAATCTGCAAAGGCAGATAGACAGTAGCAGCAAATAAACATTTCACAAAAACAGCTCAACTGTACAGTTTCTAAGGATGCCTTACATGAATTAGTAAACATTATATACAAGTACTGTTGGTATCCTACTTTTAAATTAGCCTTAGAGCTGGGCATGGTGGTACATGCCTATAATTCCAGCACTTGAGAGGCTGAGGCAGGAGGATTGTTGAGAGTTTGAGACCAGCCTGGGCTACAAAGTGAGCTCAAGGCCAGCCTTAAACTGCATAGCGAGACCCTGTCTCAAAAAGACCAAAAAAAAAAAAAAAAAAAAAAAAAAAAAAAAAAAAAAAATAGCCTTAGAGGTATTAGTTGTAACTTTGTTGGATCTTGGCCTCATATGGATTTGCAATTTTAGTTGGAACTTACCATGAATGTCATTTTGAAGCTTGATCCACTTATTACTCACCTGACTCACACGGTAGATTTCTGTCTCTGTTCTTAGCAGGATACTTTACCATACTGTGAAAAGTTTTTCATTTACCCACCCCTGCAGTTATCCCCTCAAGCTGGCTTATTAAACACAAATTAATAAGTAATAATGAACTCCCCCCTCCAATAAAAACAAACAAAAAACAAAGCCATCTTTCTGAGCATGCATGTATCTGGGGTTTCCAGTGAGATGTGTTAAAATAGGTCTCAAGCTCCCAGTAGGCTATTGATCTTAAAAATTCTACCTATTGGGGCTGGGGATTTAGCTCAGTGGCACAGCACCTGCCTGGCAAGCACAAGGTCGTGAGTTCGATTCCCAGTACTGGGGGAAAAAAAAAAATCTACCTATCATTATAGAGAAGGTTTATAAATCAGCAAGACAAACACTAACTTCCTAAAGGATCAATAGATGATGAATATGATCTACAGGTTCTGTTTTGTTTATTCTCTAACAAGCAATAAGCAAATAAACAAAACAGACCCTGTATATCTTAGCAGTACTCACAAGAATGCAGTGAGAGAATGTGATTTTTCCAATTTTTGGAAATTATTTTGACAATATGTATCAAGACTCTTTTAAGTGTTAATTGTATTCCACAGTGGAGCATTTGCCATGTGCTATGCTCTTCCCCAAGGTTTTCCAACAGGTTTTCTACAGTTAACAAGTCCCATGTGTTTCCTTTCTTTCTGGTGTGTGACAGGGTTTGGAGCTGGGTTTTGTTTTAAAAAAAAAAAAAAAACCAGTTAACAAATCAACAAAATAATTTCAAATAGTGATAAATTTCAGAAATAAAATATTGTGCTGTGGGTTCATGCTGAGAGAGATGCTTTAGATTGGCTTTTCCAGGAGTAAAGAGGTAAGTAAACTTTCTCTCTCTGTCTCTCTGTCTCTCTCTCTCTGCTAAACATTAACCCATGCACAGGCAGGAATTCTACCACTGAGCTACATCCAGTTGAGACCCAAAACAGGAAGTGAAGCCGGCCTTGGGAAGATCTGGGAGAAGCAAGTTCCACACTGGACTACAAGTGCTGCGGTACCGGGTGGGAGCAGCCCGATGAGACCAGGGAGTGGCTGAAGGGCTGTGTGGATGGAATGACAGGGTAGGAGAAGAGACCAGGGTACTGGCAGAATCAGTACAAACAGTCACACACGCTGTGTGGAAGATTTGGATTTTATTCTGCACACAATGCAAAGTCACTGGAGGCATCTACACAGGAAAATAAGATGTATCAGGAAGAGCAATCTATAAATTCATGTCTACCAACTTACAACTGGCCAGCACTCCACATCTATGGGTTTTGTATCTATAAATTCATTCAACTGTGTACTAAAAATATTTTAAAAATCATGCCCATATGGAACATATACAACTTTTTTCCACTATTATAACAACTACTATTTACATAGCATCTACATACTAGCTATTGTAAGTAATCTAGAGAGGATTTAAAGTGTACTGGAGCATGTCTATATGTTATATGCAAATATAATACCGTGTTATATAAAGGACTTGAGTACATGTAGATTTTAGAATCCACAGGGGTCCTGGAACTGATCCCCCACAGTTACCAAGGGACCCTGTCAGTGTCGTAGATCCAACCCTGTATTGAATTGTAAGGAACCTATGGAGTCGGGGTTTGTAGCAGAGATGAGGTTGAATGATTGAAGAAGTTATCTACTGTGCACATCTTTTTTTTTTTTTTTAATGTCTTTTTCAGACAGGGTCTCGCTATGCAGTTCAGGCTGAACTTGAGCTCACTTTGTAGCCCAGGCTGGTCTCGAATTTGCAACGATCCTCCTGCCTCAGCCTCCTGAGTGCTGGGATTAAAGGTGTGCGTCACGACACATGGCTACTGTGCACATCTGACTTGCAACTTGTTTGTATGAAGGAGGAGCGCTGTGAGTGCCAAACTGCCCAGGTTTGAGCCCCAGGGCTATTAGTGCCAAGGCCTTAGGTGAAGTGTCAGTCAGCTTGGGCTGCATTGTGCTGGGGCAAGAAATGATCCCCCCAGCCACAACTGCTAGCAGCAGCAACAGTTACTTCTCCAGATGCTTTCCATTTATGCAGGAGTGGACTGTGTCGTTGTCCTCCGTTATTCTTTGGAATATTGTCAGTCGCTGTGGCAGAAGAAAAGGAAATGTAGAGAATCATGGGCTAGTTCTTAAAGGTTTAACCTCAGTGCGATGACCAACATATCTTAGTATTTCTGAGTTCAAAAGTACAGGGATGCAAAATTCTCCCACAGAGAGAGTTAGGTGTGTGTGTGTGTGTGTGTGTGTGTCTGTGTGTGTGTGTGTCTGTGTGTTCGGTGGGTGCACGGGTGCTTTAATAGAGGAAAGAGAAAAAGAAAATTCAGGAAGAATGAAAGTGTTAAATTAGTATTTCAAGATACTATGTAGCAAGCTGGGTGTGGTAGCACCCACGAGTAATCTCAGCTTTCTGGAAGGCTGAGGTAGGAGCATCACTTGAGCACAGGAGTGCAGGGACAGCCTGGGCAAGATAGCAAGAGGCTGCCCCAGAAAAGGAAAAGAAAAGAAGAAAAGAGAAGAAAAGAAACCACAGATCACTGCAAGCTAATATTCATTTAACAAGAGGGATAATTAAAAGACTATAAAAACAAGTACAAGCCAGCCATGGTGGCACATGCTTGTAATTGGGAGGCTGAGGCAGGAGGATCATTGCGAGTTCAAGGTCAGCAGGGGTTACAAAGTGAGCTCAAGGCCAGCCTGAACTGCATAGTGAGACCCTATCTCAAAAGGACAAAATAAATAAATAAATAAAAAACTAAGTACAGGAAGCTACATAGCTGTAGGGGAAAAAACAAACAAACAAACACACACACAAAAAAACAAAGAACAAAAACACAATAAAACCCAAACTACAACAAAATATTATGCAGCACTTAAGAACAAAACAGAAAGCACATAACTCCTTAAAGGTCATGCTAAGAGGATAAGGAACCTGAATACAGAATTTTGTGGTTATGTTACAAGAGCCATAATAGGAACTGTCAGGCTCATATGTTCATGGCAATAAGCTTTGTGGTGAGCCACAGAGGTGAACACAACCACTGAGGGAAAGCCACTCACAGACAGCATCTGTAAGACCTCTGTGTGAAAAGAGGGCGGTGAGTTGGCTTGTGTTTTGTAATGATTCAGTATGTCCCACATCTCACATCTAACTCAACATCCAAAAGACATTTACAAAGCTGGACATGGGGGCATGCGACTGTAGGGCCAGCTACTTGGGAGGCTGAGGCAGTATGACTGTTTGAGCCTAGGTGTTCGAGACCAGCCTCAGCATCATAGTGAGACCCTATCTTAACACACCAACACCCTGTTTTCTAAAATGGATAAAATCACTAGCCCACAGACCTAAGAAGCTCAGGAAACCCACAATAGGTTAAGTACAAAGAAAGTCACCTCTAGGCACGTCAGAATAATGTGCTGAAAAGGAAAAATTTAAAACATCTTGAAAGCTGATTTGTGTTTTTAAAAAGACATAAAAGGGGAACGATGATAAGAGTAATGTCTGATTTCTCATCAGGAACAAGGCATTGGCATCTTTATAGGTGAAAGGGGAAAAAACTCTGTCAATCTAAAATTTTATATCTAGCAAAATGTCCTTCAAAAGTGAAAATGAAAATAGAACATTTAAAACACAAAAATTCAAAGAATTTATCTCCAGCAGAACTCAACAGAAGATCTACTAAAAGAAGCCCAGCTGGGCGTGGTGGGCCACGCCTATAATCCCAGCACTCAGGAGGCTGAGACAGGAGTATTGCTGTGAGTTTGAGACCAGCCTGGGCTATACAGTGAGCTCAAGGCCAGCCTGAACTGCGTAGTGAGACCCTGTCTCAAGAAGACAAAAATAAATAAATACATAAATAAGTTCACTGAAACATTAATACAGGTTACCTTTGGCCTCTAGAATTACAGGAGGTGCTCAAAGTGGTGACCATGTGATTCCAGGCGTTTACTAGTATGAGGAACTGCTGAGGGGCATATGTATACATTTTTTGGCGGACTCTGTATTTAAGAGCTTTGCTATCTGTATAACCCTTTCTAACTGAGGGTTGTCGTCTTTTGCTCCATTAAGTTAAATACAAATCAGCAATGGCATTTAATTTTTAATATTTCATAACAGAATGTTGCTTTACAGAAAAATACTATGAAAAGTATTTTTCAGAGCTGGACAGGCAGGTAGTTCAGTGGTAGAGCACTTGGCTAGCACATGGTAGACCCCCAAGTTTGATCCCCTGCACTGAAAAAAAGGTATTTTTCATAAATTGTGAATGAATTGTCTGTGTTCCTCAAAATCATTATCAATTTAATGACTCTGATGCATTTTATAAAACAAAGCAAATAAGACAAAAACTAGTAATATCCTCAGTTACAACCATATTGAGGTAACTACTGTCACTGCTGGGAAGTAGCATTTTGCACTTTCCCCCTAAAGTTCTCTGTATTAGATACTAACCAACCCCAAAATTATTCATCTGCTCTTATTAAAAAGAAAAGAATAATAGCCTGACATTCTGTACAATTTTGTTGTGAATGAAACCACATATTAATATGAACTGTAACTCAGTGGAACATACGTCAAATTTTTGATTTAGTATTATCAATAGGAAGAAATGCACAACTAGCAAGTGTCATATTATTCCTTTCTTTTATGGACCAGGGATTGAACCCAAGGAGTGCTGAACTATATCCTCAGCCCTTTCTATTTTTAAATTTTGTGACAGGGTCTTGCTAAATTACCCAGGCTGAGCCAGGCTTGGTGGCCCATGCCTGTAATCCCAGCACTTGGGAGGCTGAGGCAGGAGGATCGTTGCAAGTACGAGACCAGCCTGGGCTACAAAGTGAGCTCAAGGCCAGCCTGAACTGCATAGCGAGACCCTGCCTCAAAAAGACAAAAAAATTTAAAAAAAAATTACCCAGGCTGGCCTTGAATGTGTGATCATCCTGTCTCAGTCTCCTAGCACAGCTGGGATTACAGGTGTGAACTGCCGTGGCTGGCATATTATTATATTTACTTGTCCTCCTTCTGTTAAATGACTCAATAAATTGTTAACCTACTTCAAAAATTCATTGGGCTGAAGGAATAGAAATCTGACTTTTCAGGTAGAAAGAGTAAAAATCTTGTAAAATATAAAGATAAGGTGCATCAGGCGAACAAATTAAATACTACTAAGATAGTGATTTTAAAATATTTGTTATAGTCAAAAACTAAAACAGACTAGGTACAAAGAAACAGAGCACAAATATACAAACTATAGTATAGTCAGATAATGGAATCTACTCAGTAATGAAAGAGAATGAAGCAAAGAAAGCTAAACACTAAGCAATGAATATTCTATTATTTCATTTAAATAAATTCAGGGCTGGGAAGGTAGCTTTGTGGTAGAGTATTTGCCTAGTGTGTGAGCATTTCCCTAGATTCCATCCCCCGAACTGTAAAAACAAACAAACAAGCAAACCAATAAACAAAATAAATTAATTCAAGAACAAGCCAAGCTAATTTATGATGGTGGAAACTGAAGCAAAGGTTACTCTTGGCAGGGGTCTTGACTAGAAAAAAAGCACAAAAGCACATTCAATTGTGCTGGAAATGTTCTGTATCAGGGTTTGGCGAACTATATCCTCAAAGCCAGAGAGTGAATATTTTAGGCTTTGAGGGTCATACACTCCCTGTTGCACCCATGCAGCTTTACCAGGGTAGCATGAAATGAGCCACAGATGAAACATAGACAAATGGCTGTAGTCTAATAAAATTTTATTTACAGACAAGGAAATTTGAATTTTATATAATTTTCATGGGTTACAAAAAAATTGACCTCTGGCTTTAAAAAACATTTCAAAATGTAATTTGTATTGTTCACAGGCTGTAGCACATTAGGCAGTGGGCCAAAATTGACATGGTCTATAGTTTGCTGGCCCCTGTTCTATATCTTGGTGGCGGTTTCTGTTATTTGGATATGTGCCTTTGTAAAACTGATAAAACTAGTCACTTAAAATTCGTGCATATCTCTGGATGTAAATTATCTCTCACACAGAAAAAAGTCTAAACCGGGCGTGGTGGTGCACACCTGTAATCCCAGCACTCGGGAGGCTGAGGCAGGAGGATTGTTGCAAGTTCGAGACCAGCCTGGGCTACAAAGTGAGCACAAGGCCAACCTGAACTACATAGTGAGACACTGTCTCAAAAAGACGAAAAAAAAAAAAAATCTTCTAAACACAGGCAAGAAACTTAGTCTCTGTGCTGGCTTCATTCTCACAGATGTATTACTTTAACAAAAATAGCAATAAACATTCATACCTCCACACAAAACACTGTTTATTCTAGCCCTCTTCAAGGGAGGCATATTTAGGAAAAAA